TCTCTGAGTTGTGTTCAGTTAAGTGGGGCCATGACATGAAGAGCGAAAATCTGTGAACTCTGATTCATTGTATTGGATAAGAGAGTTACAGTTAAGCAATAATTAATTTAAAATTAACATTAATTAGGAGGGTCCATGTTTGGCAATGCCGACAAGTCGCAAAGTGATTTTTAAATGGGTCCATCATCCACGTGGAAGAAGCAGTCATTGCGTTGGTTAGCCACCGTGAGTCGTCGCATGATATTCGTGTGTTTGATTTTCAGCCACGTGGACAGTCCAAAAATTTTTCACCTTTCGATTGACCAGTCGATACTTTTACGTATTTAAAATGCTAGAGATAAAAAGACTCTTATAAGGTGACAGATGACGTAACAGTCTTATCACCAATTTTTACATCACATACACTTCTCTTTCTTTTCCTTCCCTTCTTCATTTCTCTCAATCTGCCCTTTGTTGGGTAGATCTAAAAAAATAAAATCTATTGGATATTTTTATTCATATTTTCAACCAGATTTTAAAGATAGCGTTTAGTTGAATATTTGTATAATAGAATCTTGAGAATATTATCTCGACACTTCCTAACCTTTTTATGACTGTTTGAAGATAGTTACAGGCCTATTTGTGAGTTGACTTTTCTTTATTCACTACTTCCTCCACTTTTCTTCTTTCTTCTTTCATGCTTCTTCACGTCACATGTTCACTAATATTATATTAATAAATCACTTATAAAAAAAATATATTAATCAAATATTCAACACGAGTATGAAGTCAAAATACTCTACCAAACATATATTCTATAAATCTTATTTTCGTAATCATAACCCTACTTAACCATCCAATATTATTCTCAAAATCTTATCCAAAATAATGAACCAAACGCACTCCTAATTTTTATTGATTTTCTAAAAAAAATTCTGGCCACTCTTATCTCCTTTATCTTCTTTTTCTCATGTCTCTTCTTCCTGTTGTTTTATTTCTTTTTCTTTATATTTTCTTATGGAAAATTCCTTCTCTAAATTTTTTCTATATTCTGCTTCACATTTTCTCAGAAAATTCCATCTCTAAACAAACGATATAATACTAGTAAGCAAGTTTGTTCATAATCATATTCAAACTCTTTAATCCTGGAAATACATCCTCCCAGAAACCTAGGAATAGTCCCTGAAATATTAGCAAAGTTTGCTGAAAACTTCTGCAAAGTCGTTACATTTGTTAAACTCGCAAGAATCTCCCAAGACTCAAAGGAATTATAATCAAGGCTTAATACTTTGCAAAGAAGTTAAACCAGAAAAGAAATCCGGGGGAAATATGAAAAATTGTTGTTATTAAAAAACACTTCTTGAAGAGAAATCAACCCAACAAGAGTTGGGATAGGCCCACTAGGTTTGTCCTTCATCACCTCAAGTATAGTTAGTGAAGTTAAGTTCCTAAGGTCCGGTGGGAGAGTTCCTTTCAGGCCTAGTGAACTGATTTGGATCTTGGTGATCCGATTCTCTCTTCCGTCTCTACACTCGACTTTTTTGAAATTTTCATGAGAAAATATAAGGGAAAATAAAAAAAGGAAAAAGAAATAGAAGAAGAGGAAGAAGAGACGGGAGATAAAGAAGATAGAGGAGATCAAAAATTTTAGAAAAACAATAGGTTTTTATTTTCTTATATCCACAAAATGGAGAGAAGATTGAGGGAGAGAAAGAAGAGAAGGAAAAAAAAGAAAAGAAAAAAGACTAAAGAAAGAGGGTAGGTGATGTGGAAACTGATGATATGATAATTGTCATATCACTTTGTATAAAGAGTTTAAGAATCTTTGTTGCTCTAGCATTTCTCTTTATAGGTATTTGTTTAATTAAATATCGTAATTTAAAATAATTAATGAAGATGAAATATGATTAATTAAAGAAAGATATTTTGAGTTGTCCCATGCAATAATGCATAACAAACGCCCAGGTTAACCAAAACCTAGAATTATAAGATAAGAGCAAATGGTATCTGTTTAATATATCATTTTATTGAATCAAATCTGTTATGGGCAATAGATGAAGATATGGTAACTATTCATTTTACACTTGTTGGATTATAATTAAAATTAAACTTATAAATTAAATGAAGACTTTTTGCATGTGCGTGAAGAAGCAGATCATCTAAATTCCTTGTCGTTTCTTCACGACTTTAAGAATTTGTATTCTAAGCCGATAAACTCGAAATGGGGCCACTTAATTAAATCTAATTAGAAATAATTTTGGCAGATTTGGGAAGAGATGTGGCGATCGAGAGTAGCAATCACAAAACGGTAGATCAATCCATGGATAAGACCAAAGAGACAAACTAATTATATGATAGTTACACCCCATGTGCCTAGTTGCACCAAACTCTCGTTCGTTTTTAATTCAATCTAACATCAAAATTTATAGTTAGAGTTAAATACATTTTGGTCCTTAAGGTTTTGGTCTAAGTTACAATAAAGTCCAAATAGTCATACTTAGCTCTAGGGGTGAGCAAATTTTTAGGGTAATACCAAAACCGACGAGTACCTGGAGTGTCAGTTCCGGCTCTTATCTAGAATCGACCCTGTGAGGGTCGGTTTCAATTCCAAACTGGTTGAAACCGGTACTATGCTTGTTTGGGTCCAGTTCCACCAATTTAGGAACCAAACCTGGACCTAGGAATCAGGATCGGAATCGGACTTGAGGTGGAATCAGCGGGTACTTGGGGTGTATTTGTACTTCTTGTAAATAGTTGGGTGTCTTTGTAATTTTCATAAGGTATATTTGAAAATATTGTAAACATGAGGGGTGTATAAATTTTGTGTGAACAATACCTGAACCCAGATCCGACCGAGTCTAGGACCGGTTCCAAGGGATTGGGCCAGGTGCCTAGACCCACTCACTCATTATTCAAGACTAATTAGCTCCTTGAAAGGTAGTGACTTTTTAATTTTTTCAAGTAAATCTAAAATGTCCCTAATCTTTTCTTATGTAAATGAAATTAAAAATTGATAGCATTATTAAAAAAAAATAGACAGTTGCTTACTGTTAGAACAATCCCATTAATTATAAGAAATATAAAAAAAATTAACAGATTAAGGGTGTTTTAGACATTTACATTTTTTTTTTTTTTTTTTTCAAAAAGTGATACTGACAGCCATTGCCATTTGCCAATGACCCAAATGTTACTTTCAGATTCTATAGGACCTTAAGTTATTCAGACTATACCTCAGGCACCAAAATGATTTAAGTCTTAAATATAATAATCAAGTTAATAATATTAATGGAGAAATACTAAGGAATTAAGATGCTGTCGACATGAAATCACATTCATTAATTGCAGAGCAGGACTAATCAAAATTCAAAAGAACAGGTGAAGACAAATTTGACTTTAAACTTCTACTTTTTATAATCCAACAAAATAGAACATGAAAGATGATGCAAATTGCGACAAGTTTCAGCCATAACCTTTACTTATCAACATTTCTGTGAATGTTAAAAGTGCCAAAATATGCCGACTTCCATTGTTTTTATTCCAAAAATAGTCATTTGTATTTCCTTAATTGTTTAGGGATAATTTGGGAATTCATTCAATTTGCAAATTTATACTTGAAGAAAAATGGAACCTCTCCCTTCCTTTAACATTTTTTTTTTTAATTTTGTTTTTATGTAAGATAAACAAAAAAAAGGGTCAAATTTATATGGAAAAGCAGGAAATTATTAACTCCTGAATATGACACAAAAGGTCCGCAGCCCAATGGGTTATGCCAGCCCAGTTCCTGCCCGAGTCCAACAAAAATTTTATGGTCACAACTCTCAAGGCTTTCAAATCATGAGTAATGCTATACTTAAAATCTCTCCTCACCAATTTTTTCTCATAATCTCTTATAACTGGTCAGTAATAATTTATCACCTAAGATTTAGATAAGACCCATTACGAGCTGACCTATTATGAGCTGTCATGTCGGGTTTATAGGAGGAAGTTTGTAAGTGTAGCATTTTCTATAAAAAAAACAAAGTCTTGCCTTTGGAGTTGGTAACAGTAACAGGGAACTGGGCAAGGGTTATATTTCATTTTCTTGCAGTGATATCGCTAAAGTATTAAAAAATCTTCTATATAATTATCACAAACCCTTTTAAAAATTATCAACCATTTTGTCACAAAATTATGAAAATCCCTCTTATAAGGAGTATTTAATATTTTCTGAGTTTAATATTAAACTATCTCACAGGACAGAAAAATGAAATAAATCCAATTGAAAAAATCAAAATGCTTTTCCTTTAACATTTATTTTCTTGAACAAAGTAGAAGAAAAGAATAGCTATAGAAATGATGGAACTTTTAGCTACCAGAGTTTTTATCCGTCCAGTAGTTTCAGAGTCCCAGGGTTAGTTGAGATGCGCATAAACAAATTCAGATACCTCCGGTCAAAAAAAAAAGAAATGATGGAACTTTCAAAGAAAGTAGACTTTCTGAAACTCAAGATTTCAATAGTTATTTATTTTGGGTGTTAAGGAGAGGTGAAAGCGTTTGATTGACTGATCAACTCAAGCCTCTTAAGTCATTGACATTTAATAATACTAATTAGAATACAAGAAAGGCTTATGATAGGTTGAATTTTCATCCAAGGCTACTACTAAATTATAACGAAGCTTCTTTGTAAAAAGTTGCTGGGTCAATGACTGATATTAATACAAAGGAGTATAAGGTTCCAATCGAGAAGAATAACCATGAAAGTTTCAGCTTAGAAACCAAGTGAACCAGTCTTCATCATCGATTCAAAATAACTAAACCAATATCTTTTAACAAAACTTCTTGAACTTGCAGAAGTTTCTAGCCATCAAAATCTCATACGTAGAAATGGGATTAATTCAAGTTACAAACTGAGTTACTTAAATTACTTCAATAACTGATTATTATTCACTTAATTGGTTTTACTTCAGGGTTTCTAAACATAAAAGCATCTGTCATCTGAACTGAAGTGGAAGCTACACCTTGAACTGAATTTCATGTTATAATTGTAGCTAAGAGATTTGAGTTTTATCATAATTGATGTGGATGTGTACAAACCAGAGAAGCCAAAATAAAAACAGTTTATAACCAACAAGCTAGTCTCTTGAACTGATTTAATTAAACCACTCAATTTCAGTATATATAGATATGTACAAACCATATGCAAAAAGTTTAACTAGCTAGAAACAGTAGTGTCTCTATTGTAACTTCCATGGCAGACATTGAAGCTTTGAACAGGGCTCAGTCCAAGTACTTGAGCATTCATTTCCACTCACATCACAACACTTGCAAGCAATTCCAAGCGTTTCAAATATCTTCGTGTATCCTACAATTCACAGACATACATAACATAAGAAACTATAAAACCAAGAATCACAAATTGAATTGAGATAAATAAGCAAATTAAAGGCCGTAATATTTCTTACTCTGTTGAGGTTGGATGGACAGTGGCCTTGCTTCTGCAACTCTTGGTCTATGGGACATCGAAAAACTCATAATTATCAGAATCAGAAATAGACAAGGCTTAGAAATACCCATGATTCAACAGAGAGCACTTCAGACAAAAGTTTTTATCTTCAAATATTTGAAGGTAAACTAACCCAGATAAGACTAGCACTGGTTTTGAACTTTGGAGTATCAGAAATAAGGTAAGATGATAAGTTATATGAAAACAATAGGCAATTATTTTTAAAAGGGATGGTTTTGGTTGGTTCAAAGAAAAAGTTAATTAACAATTAATTAATCAAGAAGGGTGGTGGCTGTTTCTGTTTGAATTCGTGCAAATTAGATTCAAGTGATTAATGAGTTTCTAGAACTAATTGAAATGGACGTGCCACACGTTTCCAAGTTACTTACGTTTCTATGGTGAAGAAATTCAGAGGAAGCTTCACGGGGACCTACCCTGTTTGTCTCTTTATAAACCATGAAAGAAAATAATACATGGGATGTCTTACTCTTGGCTTTATTGGATTTGATTTTAGGGGAGTTTCACACTTTGAGTTTGATATTTATTGTGCCATCTGACACACTATGAAATCAGTATTTTGTGCACTAGAAATTGCTCCATGTAGGTTCAAGACTTTTTTGAGTCATATATTCTGTCTTTATGTATCTGGCGTCTAGTGTTGAAATTTTGCAATAACTATTTACCCTTTTTCTCTTTTTCTTGCGCTGTAAATGCTCAAGAAATTACCTATCACCATGACCATAAATTTGTCAAACGTTAAAGAACTGTGTGTTGACTTCAACTTATGCATTAAAATATTTCAAGGAAACTGTAGAATGCAACTCTTTTTGGGTTTTTCTTGCTGTTTAGGTGATGAGAAACAATTTGTGTATGACTGTTACTCATTCAAATTTTAAAAATGGATTAATATGAGGGGAAGATTAAAAAGAGGAGCCGCAATTGTTGATTATTTCTTTCACTATACAATTAACTACTACTACTCTCTCTGGATAATTGAAACAGATTTAAAAAATGTATAAAACAATTAGTAAATGTTAACAGTTGTTTTGGTGGTTGAACGGTCCGACCAAATCAAGAACAAAGGATCTTCTAAGTCTTGTCTTATTTATATTTTTTAATTTCTTCTCATCTTCTCGCAGTAGTTTCATGTAAACTAAAATTCCAAAGGATCTTCTAAGTCTTATTTGTGTTATTATAATTTCTTCTATCTTCAGGTAGAGGTGGCGATGGACCGTGCTGTACCTAAAAATTCAAGGTCTATCGTGCCGTGGGTCGTGCCGTACCAAGACTCACACAGTTTTGTGTTTTGTCGTGCCATGTCGGCCCACGAAATTTGAAGGCCCACGAAATTTGAAGGCCCACGGCATGGCTCGTTATATATCGTATTGTGCCTTGGGCCAGTCCACGTGCTTTGTGAAAATATTTTAGTTTAATATTTAAAAATTATGGTAATTTTGATTTATTATTAATAATTATTATAAAAATATTTTATATATTATATTTAGTGATATTTTGTATTTATATTAATTAAAAATATATAATCACTATGAAATATAATAAAATAATAAGACATTGAAATATTAATTAAATTTCAATAATTTTTTATTATTTATAAGTTATAATTATAAATTACAAATACAAACGTGAAAATCAAGATTGAGAATTAGTATACATCTTCATTTTCATTAATTTCTAAATTCTTAAAATCTTCAAATATATCTTCATTAATACAATTTTGAAGCTTGAAATCTATCGTCACCAAATCTTTCATACACATAATGGCTTCAATAACACTATTTTAAGTTTAAAATAGTCGTTACAAATCACCCCCCGTCCCCCCCTCCCCCCGGGCGGGGTGCAGGGGGGTAATAGCTATTTTAAAATAGTCGTTACCCCCTTGCAGAGGGGGGTAACGATTATTTTAAAAAATAGCTATTAATTTTATTTTTTTCATGTGGTGTCAGTCTATAAACTTTTTTTAAGGCCTACGGCATGACTTACATCTTTTTATGTTGTATCATGCCGTGTTTTTTTTGTGCTGGACCGTGATGTGCCATGGGCCAGTACAGCCCACCGCCGGCTCCTCCGGCACTAATTTCATGTCAAAAAGGAAACAGACAAACATAAATCGTGGGCGGCAGGATAGAACTTGCGCGTGCAGAGCCCACAAGATTTCTAGTCATGCCCGTTAGCCAATTATATTTACGTTAAAGAATTTTGACTTTTTTGTACTCTAATTAATTTTGCACCTGTTTAGAGCCGGAATGGAAATTATAGATTATCTTCAAAGTTTTTGCTCCCTTAGTTAACTATTTTATGTTTTTTATAATAGTATTTTTTTAAGAAAAAAAAAAAAAGAAAACTTGAGTTATTTTTATGACAAAAAGGCAATTATTAATATTTTGAGAGTTAAATTTTAAGAATATTAAAACAGATACATTTTTAGATTTTTATGATAGAATAGTAAGATAGAATAGAATAATAATAGTGAACTAAAAAGGTCTTTTATTATTATTATTTTAGTACTGGTACATAATTATTATATGATACTATTGTTAACAAATTGAGAATGGTACATATTAAGCAAATCCTACCAAAATTAACCAGTATTGAGTAACTTGATCGTAACAAAAAAAAAAAAAAAGATTTTATGAGCTATTGAGTTCAAATCTCCCTATACACTAATAAGGATTATCATTATGACTCTTACCCATGCACTAATAAGCATTATCATTAGGACTCGTACCCAGTCAATAATTTAAAAACTCCACTGATTAGTTGAGATACAGTTAAATTGACCTAAACACCCTTGATGATAAAATAATAATTAAAAAAAAAAACCCTTACGAAAATTGCGTTGGAACTCGTAAGTTTAGTCTAATGCCCAATACCAATGGGCCGGCAACAGGTTCACTGAAGTTATTGGTTTTTAAACATTTCCAATTTTTCTTTTACTTTCAAGTGAAAATATCATAATACACAACTTAAACCTCTTCAAACTATTTATATATATAAACTAAAAGCTTACAACATGTTTCCAGTCTCACCCGAACAAAATAAATAGGAAAAAATTCCAAGGAAGTATAAACTGGAAATCATGTATTTAATTCTAACTCTAGTAAACATTATTGACGACACTCTTTAATAGGGAAATCCCTAAATAAAATCCGAACCACCAGGGAAGTGCTCCAGGTCTGGATGATTCCCACCACCGGGCCTTCGAGGGTTCCTACAAGAGAACGAAAGCAGAAAATGTCAAATTTCCAACGTTTGGTTAATGAGGGCATGTCTCTGTTCCGATACTCAAAGACTTGATAGAATAATCCTCAAAACTTTAAAGATAAAAAAAAAAACAATTTGAGAACTACCATTATAACATAAGTTCAATTCTATCTAATGTACCTTGCAAATCTGTTGGGCTCAAAGCCCGGAACACCTGGTGGGCCATAGGGATCAAAACGAGCACCTGGAGGAACACCCCTGCAACAAAACCAAAAATCGAAAAATAATTAGACCCTAAGCATAAGCGAAAGATATGAAATAGAGATATTTTTAAATAACCCACGGTTGTCCTCCGAAGAAGCCAGGCTCTCCACCAATTCCTCCACCAAACCAGCGAGGATCATCTGGTCCTGTATCCAGTATCCACATATTCAAAGTCAATAAATTGGAGAGGTTATGATGAACTTATGTGCAAAAAACTCACAAATTTGACTGGTTTTACAAACCTATAAGCATGCTGCCACCGCTGCCAGGATCCCTTCTGAAGGTAGTTAAAACAGATACATAGTTATGACACAACTGTATTGAAATAGAAATGACCAGCAAAACAAGCAATTGATTTGGCATAGTTCAGTACCTTGGGTACATTCCAGCACCAGAACCAGGAAAAAGATCACTAACACCACCTGGATTAACAGGAGGAAGCACGACTCTACAAGCAAGCCACAAAACACTAAGTTAGGGGGATCCTACATTAGGGGCTAGTTGAAGGATAAACTACCCAAGAAAACAAGGATGAGTCATCCATATAACAGAAACATGATTACTCAATTCCAATCTGTAGAAAACAATCATCTGGAAATATGATAAGGTGACAAAATAAGCACTTATTGTGATACAACCAATGGTGCAACCTCTTTTTTTAAGGGGTTTCAATGAACTTAATGAAAAAGAATACATATGCCATGACAAAATACCAGGCAAACAAAATAACAACTTGAAAAGCTCATTCTGAACATGGAATGCCAAAGTTCCTAAACAGTAAGGTAATCGACTTTCCACTTCATAGACTAAACAGCAGATTGATTTAGTTTAGTGGGTCAATCTTGAATATCATTAGCACTTGGTACTTGTGCAAAGGAGTAAGAAGCACAACTGTGACTGCCTCTCCAGAACATAATGACCAAATTACAAACAAGTATTGGAAACTTTATCTCTAGAAAGCAGAAAAGAAACAAATTGATGAAATAAGCATAACATCTCTATCCAAGTTTGATATATGAAAGTTTTATTGGTTACTATAAAGGGCGTGAACTGGCCAAATGCAATCGTAGGGCTAGGCACCTAATAAGTCCACAGCCTGAGGTCATAGAGATTGGCAATATGCCTGGACAAAATAGTAAACAAAACTTATGACCACTCATCCCATGCCAGTCTATCATCTATTGCCTATTGCCATAATAGCTTCACTTACATCAACAACTACGTTTTCACAATCTTAGACAAAAGAATTGGATGCATCAATAATTCTAGTATTACATGGTCCAGATGTGCAACTATGAAAATACATGGATTAAGTAAACTTATGACCTTCCACAATTATTTATAGAAAAAGTGGCAGAAAAAAAGTAATTAAAAAAAGGGAAAGAAAAGAAATGAAAAAGTTTACCCTGAAGGATGAGGTTGAGGGCCCGTAGGCTCATAAATTCCAACACCATGATCATTTATATTACGCCTTGACCCCTCGCCAGTTACCAAACTGCAAAGCACAAGATCAAAATCAGTGAAATGCTAATAATGGAAAGCATCCTTGCTATGCATCTCTAGACTCTGGGTAGTTTTAACAGTCAAAATGAACCAGACAACAGCTCCAATCTTCAAAAAAACATAATTCTTATTCAACTTAATAGTCCACTTTGTAAACTAAAATGCATACTAAAGCTTTGATGAAAAGGCTACATTCACGACAAAGAAACATTTTCTCCAAAATTGATGGAGCTTTGCCCAACACATACTACACTGAATATCCATCTATTCCTTTGTCTAATATTTAAGTTCAACAGCACACCCACAAAAATTTTATTTCTTTATAAGTAGTACAAACATATAATGCATATGAAGGTGGTCAAATAAATTGGTCAATCCAGAACAGGCAAGCAATCCGTACTCTATTCTTTATCATAAATAAAGTCAAGAAGAACAAGAATTGAACATAAACAATGAAGAATATTTGTATACTATCATAGTCACAACATGGCTTAAATGCATTTAGTTTTTCATTCTCAAATATAAGCTACAACAACATTAACACTTACTGAAATCATCATGCTTCAGCATCGACCAAGACAGATACAAACTTAATCAAAAGTAACGGACCCTAACTAATTCAAAGCATGAAACAGTAATTACCTTGATAGTTTCGGAGAACCATTTAATTTACTCAAAATCTCAGTATCTAAAAACTTAACAAGCTTATCCAAATTCTTGAACTGCCCAGAGTAATTCGCGGTGCCGTCTTCCTCAACGTATTGCCCAACACTACCACCGACACCATAAATTAAAGATAAACAAGTGAAAAAAATAAAAATTGAATTAGTTACAAATCAAGAGCGACAAGAATCGTACTCAATTTCGAGATGTACGGGTTCAGACGCCCCTTGAGCCAAGGCGTCCACGACCAGTATGTTGCCCATCACGAGACACTTCACCAGCACTTTCTTTGAACCGTTCTCAGGGTTTATATACACAAACGCGTAATTATCTTCCAGGTCGTTCCATTGATCAAGTCCCACCTCATCTAAGCAACCAAACATAAGAATGCACTCAGTAAAAAGAAACGAAAAAAGAAAATGATTGATTAAAAATTAACAATTAACAATTAACAATTTAAAGATGAGATGAGTGATAACCAGTGGAGGGAGAGGAGAAGGAAGCATCAGCGGAAGAGCCGGTGGCGGTTAACACATGTCCCGAGGCGAGAAAAGAAGCGTGAACTAAGAAGGCAAGTTTATCGTGATTGTTTCTAAAGGTTGGCCTGGCGGCCCTAATCACGGCCATCACAGATTTCTCGTCGACCATAGCTGGCTGTTTGGATGATTCGGTTTCGGTTTGATTCTGGTTGGTTTTAGAGAGTACGAGGGAATTCTTTTGAGAAATCAAAAGACGGTGAGAGATATGGCGGTTCCGTTTGCTTTATGGCCTCACCTGGCTAGTCAAGCTGGCTTTTACAGCAAGAAAGCACAAGTTATTTTAATTAATAAACAACCTTTTCCCACCCAAGGTTTGCCTTAATGACACTTTCCCACCCAAAGATAATATTACGTTACTATCCAAAGGCGAATCCAACCAATTTTGACGGCAAAATTTCTCTCCGTTACCTCCGGTCCCTTCTCTACAAAACCCCTCTCACTCTGGCATCTGATTTCTCACTGATCGTCGACCATCGCCAAACTAAGGTTTCCTATTCTTATTTGATTTCTAGCGACGAATATTCAATCGGTCACCGTAATTTGATCCACTGGCCTCCACTCTGAAAAAACCTTCTTACCCTAGCTCCTGGTAACTCACCAAACATCGGTTGAGAAAGTGAAGCAGTAGCGGATCCAGGAATTTCTTTTAGGGTGGGCCAAAATAAAAATTTATTATACATTACTATTTTTATCCATTAATATTTTTGTTAGGGTGGGCCAAAATATATAAATTATACATATTAATATAAAAAAAAAATTGAGGAAGTGGCTGGATCCGCCACTGAAATGAAGTGTGTTTAGGGTATTAACAGAATATAAATGTGGGTGAAAAAGTGGTATTTTAAAACTTTTTGCGTGGAAAAGTTGTAAGGCAAACCTTGGGTGGGAAAAGTTTACTCTAAAATTAATAGCAAATTAAGTGCATCCTTGTATTAAATTGCAAATATTCCAATTAAATTACTAATATGACAATAAAATCCAGCCCATTCGATGAAGGGCCCAAGATGAGGCCCGCTATACCCTTCTGGCCGTAAAGATTGATTTATTTCTAAAGTTGATAAAAAATAAATTGCAATTTATGACAAAATTGTCCAGTAATTGAAGACAAAAATTTTAAATTTTTAGTAGAAATAATTATATCTAATTTATGATATAAATTCTTTACAGTTTAAAACATAGTAGTGGCAAACTCATGGGTGTAACCAAAAGTGTATAATTACAACAATCAAAATTTAAGCATTAAACTGATTATTATCTGCCTTGTGTCTTCCAGTGGCTCTTATGTAACAGAAAACTGCTACTAAAAAGGTGGTAGCTAGTCCTCCAAGAATCACACCACCTCCAGCAACTGACTTGTCAACGGAATGGTGATTGTTCTTCAGATGGATCTCCTGTCCTTCAACTCTCAAGTTCTCTTCCTTGTTTGATTCATTTGAAGCTTTTTTATCAGAAGAATTCCCACTTTCTTTTGCCGCTTCGGGTGTTTCAGATGGGCTGAAACCTGCTTCCGATTGGTGCTTTCCAAGTTTCCGTATTGAAGGTGTTTGGCTGCTCGATGGACTCTGTGCCGGTGGATTTGAGTGGAGAATGTGTTGGGTATTTTCAGTAGCCATGGCTAGACCAAGAAAAGCACAGGCTAAGATGGAGCAAAGAAGAAAAACTTGAGCCATTCTTTGAATTTTTGTGTGCTGCAGAAGGTTAAGTTTTTCTTTTTTTCAAGCAGTAGAGGTAAGAGGCTGATTTGAGGGGCCATATATAGGGAGATTTCTGCATTAAAAAGGAGATCCTCCAATCGTGTGGATTTGATGGAAATTTCCATCTGGTGGATTTCATTATTAATATAATTAATAGATTAATTTGGGGTTAATGGGGTTGTCTGTTGAATGGGGGAAAGTGCAGAAGATACAATTGGAATCTTTATTCTTTAGAATATTAGAATACTTAGAATACAACTAAGATCTAAACTAAGGAACAAGATCTCTAATATGTTTATTTGTAAGCTGTAATGCATTTGGATTCAATTATTAGTAGGTTACAGAAGAAAAAATTAATTAATTAATTAATTTAACACAGGCTCTGCTCCCCATAATTTCTTAATGAGATACAGAAGATGGCAAGAAGTTGCTAAATATGCTTAAAAAAAACTGTTCAGGGTTCCAAGAAAAGTTCAAATTTGTATTGTTCCAGTTAATAAATCATTCATTAACCCTAAAAACGAGAAATTTTGCTAATTAACCGATGCATGCTGTCACTGGAAGGTTTTTTTTTTTTTAAAAAATTTATGACAGGAGGTGCTCGGACATCTCAACTAATCCCCTGAGACCTTGAAATCATTTGTCGGATAAGAGTTTCAGTGGCTACCCTATTAGTAATAGAGGAGAGACTTTTTTTTTTTTTTTTTTAATGACCGAGAGTGTCCGAACCAGTTTACATGCACTTCAACTAATCTGTCACGACCCTAGAACTATCGGCCAGGTAAACGCTCTAATGATTACCCCTATTAGCAACTGAGAAAGGGACCTCTTGAGTAATACATTCAAGAATTCTTATTTAATCACTCAATCACTCAGAAGTATTTCCTATCATTAAAAGTTGAATAGAGTAACTAGTAAAAGTCACGGATGAAATTTTTTAATACTATTTGTCTTTAGATGCAGGCAAATCATGGCAACTTTGCTGGTTAATTTGAGGATCGCCCTACTTCTGTCTAGGGTACATTAGAACAAATGTAATTCTAAAATAATTGTTTCCTAAATTATAATTCAAGAATGAAACAAGAAGAAAACATGTTTCCCCTTTGATTTACACCAAAACCTTTTTCCATTTCTCTTGTCTTTTACTCATCTATGTTCATGAATTGGTCTCCAATAGTTATTGAAAGCACAAAAGGAACATAGTTAAACAAAGTTTCATCAAAGCGTGGTGCTGAATTAGAGAATCTTAAGAAGAATTTCTTGTCTGTAAATTATCATTAGGCACTGGTTTTCTGATGCTTGTTTGTTTGATAACCGTAGACTGATACCTCAGAATGGTTGGGTCTATGATATGGAAGTTGCATAATAGGATTCATGAGGAATATATGTATGTCTGCAGGAGAGTATCATTTGAGAAGAGTATGAATTGTAGGTATATCATTCGTTAAGGTCAATGCGAATTGGGGCCATCTTGGAATTTGTCCTCTACATTTGCGGAAGAGTGTCCTGGAAACTTGAGACACGAGGTGTGAAGAAGGTAATTTATAATGTGGCAAGACCTGAAAAAACTAATGTGGTTTGCCTTTGTATATGGGAACAGTGAAGGTTTTTGACACCTTGGAGTGAAGAGTCCGATGGCAGAGTCTCAATATATTATGAAGGGCTCTGTTTCTGTCAGTTACTGTCTCTGCATTATGGGAATTTGATTGCGCTGGGGAGTTGATTCATAATTCAACAACAATTGTTTACTGGTGAATAGTGATTCTGTGCCAGCTCAAATTTGTTGATGGTCAAACCCAGTAGGGTAACATGTTGGGGGAGATGCACGTGCAGTAGCTAACCAGTTACAACCCCGGAGCAGGCCTAGTTGGGTTTAATTTACTGAATCCGATGAATCTGCATTTTCATCCACCAATTTTCAGATTTTTGTTAGCATTTTGTTGAGTAATTGATGTTATACATATATTCCGTATTGCAAGTCAAGTTTAAAGATTGAAGGCAGAATCGCTGAAAGTTCTTTTTATTTGGACATGGAAATTAATTGAATATTTCTCATTTCTGCCTTGTAAATGTCAAACATTTCTTCTTATTTTGCTTGCTCTGTTCTCATGTTTAGAAGAAAATTCGCCATTAAATGTGAATAATATGGTAATGGAACAATTTCAATAACCAAAACTAAAACAGCTTTTGCTAAATATTCACAGAGGTTCCCCAACAAATATGGCTACATTGCAGCCAAAGACAGTTTTATATCAGAGGTACAAACTACTACTCAAATGGAGAGTATCATAATTCATAAATTGTATTACATTATGCATGAGATTTCAGAGAATAATACTGCTCCTACTGTAAAAATTCTCAATGGCACGTTTAAACTCTGTTTTATTTATTAAAATTGTTCAATTAACATATAATTGCGAATTATCTTCGAAACTTGGGAACAGAGCTAACAGAACAAGAAGAAATCCTTGGTACCAAAATCTATACTTCATTGATAATATGTACTAACACACCTTCAATCTTGGCCCTCAATGTGAAAATTCTCATTAGATTCACATTATGTCAGGCAGTATGATCTTTTCCTCAGGGCAATAACTATTAAATTTGTTCATACTTTTAAAAGAGGCTTTTATTAGATTTAGTTGATAAATTTGTTCATACTTTTAAAAGTTCCTTGTTCCTCCATGAATCCTTCATTTGCAGTTACAGAAAAGCCCAAAAAGATGAAGCTGATAAATCATGAAATCCAACCCCCCCCCAAACAAAAAAAAAAAGAAAAAAATTTTGAAGAAGCAGGTAAAACATGACATTACAAAAAAACCGAAGAGAAAAAGCTGATGAAAATTTACCAAAAAACCTATAGAGAAGCTGACGGAATTACAGAAAAACCCAAAGAGAAGAAGCTGACCAAAATCGAAATTAAGTGAAAAAAAAAAAAAAAAAGAAGCTGATAAAACATGTAATTACAAGTAAAGCCAAAGAGAAGTAGCTGAGAAAACATGTAATTACAAAATACCCAACGAGAAGAAGCTGACAAAACATGAATTACAAAACAAACCAGAGAGAAGAAGCTGATAATAAAACATGGTAATATTACAAAAGCAACCCAAAGAGAAGAAGATGATAAAACATGGTAAAATTACAAAAGCAACCTAAATAGAAGAAGATGATAAAACACAGTGAAATTACAAAAAAGCCCAAAGAGTAGAAGCCGATAAACATTGTGAAACTACAAAACAACCCTTTAAAGAGTAGAACTCTCTGTAGAAGCTGATAAAACATGGTGAAATTACGAAAACCCGACGAGTAGAAGCCGATAAAAGATTTGACATTACATAATTACAACATAGCCAACGAGTAGAAGCTGATAAAACATGGGGAATTTACAAAATACCCAACGAGTAGAACCTAAAAAAAAATCGAAATTACAAAAATATCCAAAAAGATGCACCAGCCGGGAATCGAACCCGGGTCTGTACCGTGGCAGGGTACTATTCTACCACTAGACCACTGGTGCTTGCTTTCGAAGGAAAGACATCATTATTATTAAAGACTATTACTTGACAGTCCACATATCCGTAACTCTTTTTGCAGCCACAAGCTCTTCTCCTCTCTTTCCACTTCCCTGCAAAATCTGGTTCTCATTAAGCAGATTGATTAATCTGTTGAAAATCAAACCCACAATCTCCGCCTTCACTTCACTAAAATTTTCATGTCTTCAATCTTGCAAATGTCTCTTTCACTCACAACCCCACCTCTATCTCACTCTCAAAACCTCTCCTTCTCAAAAACACTAACATCTCCAATCCCACTCTTCCTCCGCACCAAACTCTCCAACCTCTCCCTTCACCACCACCACCAAAAATCAACTATAATCCGAATGGGAGGCGGGCCCAGAACTTACCCAGGTGGGGTCTCCAAGTGGCAGTGGAAACGCATGCAAGCCAAGAAAGCCAAACAGCTCCTCAAGGCCCGACTCTCCCGCGAGAGGCAAATATACGAAATGCGGAAGAGAGCCGAACTCAAAGCCGCCGTTTCGGAACTCGAACGGCCTTGGGAAGTCGTTGAAAAAGCCCCCACGCTTTTTTCGGTCACCGCCGATGAACAAGTCAAAGTCTTGGCCGACCGGTTTCAGAGACCCGGTGGGTTTGACCTCTGGACCGAAAAGGATGGGCCCCAGTTGTTTGAGACCCCTGATGGCTTACCCTCTGCCAGGTTTTTTCCCAAAGGAGTTGTTCATAGTGTGAAACCGTACGGACTTATTGCTTCAGAGAGGAGTCAACTAGAGAGTGAAGAAGATGAGAACAAATTTGATTCTGAAGAGTTGGATTCTGTGGAGGTAACGAGCAGAAATAGTTCTGGTGAAAATGGTAGAAATTTCAGGAGGAAAGGGAAGAGGAGGAGGTTTAATATGGCTAAGAATTCTGACTCAAGACGAGATTGAATTACTAGTTTTTGGTAATGTTTTTCAATCTTCTTGATAATGGATTTGTTTTGTTGCATATCAAAGATGTATACGGATGAATGATTTGTATATCCAGACTTTCATTAGCTCATGTTGTAATTAATTAATAAGTTCTGAATAGTTCTTATGGACTTGCTTTTACATGGTGTAGTTAGTTAATTTTACTAGCAATTTCTGGGAGATATGTTTCAACTTTGTTGCTTGGTTACAATAATATGGGGTGGAGTGTACCAATAGTGTTTAAGCTATGTCCGGGTGTGTGTTGGAAAAAATTGATGGTTCTTTTACATTTAAAGAACATGCATTTAAACTCATAAGTATTGCTGCTACTTGATTTTGTTAAACTTATGTGGATTCATGTGGTTGACGTTGATATATCATACCAGTTGCGTCACGGATAGTGAGTTGTATACAAATGTAGAAACTGGCAGCGATTTAACATATGATGCTTGATCCCAAGTGGAAACTAATTTGATTTCTGTTTGGACTAGTTTGATATCATTTTTTCTACAGCAGTGTTTACTTATGGGTTGGCAGAAGAAACTATTCTTGTTGACCTGGTTCTGAACTGTTTGAATTCAGGGTCATTCATGCTTGGTCATGACATTTGAACATGTTGATATAGGAGTAAAATCATCCTCTAGTGACTGAGTTTTATCTAAAGTAGCTTATGGTGAGTAATAGATAAGCTGCATATTGGAATGAAAAATTGTCTAATAGTTTGAAAACTGAAGGAAGGGTTCATAGAAAATTCTAGATTTTGCCATTCCATGGCTAATCGAATCTCTGTTTGTTCATTCATTTTTGGATGATGGTCCATATGATATTACCTAGAGAGGGCTGTGCAAAGATTTCAAATGCAGGGGGCTGATATGCTCTTTCTTTGTTAATGGCGCAAGGTAAAGATTTTTTGAGGAATTTCTTGAACTGTAGGGCATATGGGTAGTTAGGATGCCTTAGATAAATGGAAGAGATGGAAAATAATACAGCCACCGACAGTAGTGCACCGAATGACGTGACAAAATTCTGACCGTTGATTAATTTTAACTTAATATTAATCAATGGTCAAGATTTTGTCATGTCATTCGGTGAACTACCGTCGGTGGCTGTAGCATTACTCGGAAGAGATTGTCTTAGTTGTGTCAGAGATTAAGGTTGTGAACATCGAAAGTTTTGCAGGGTTGGCAGTTGAGTGTTTATGTTGTTGGGTAACAGAATAACTTCTTGAAGAGGTTTTTTTCGTCTTTGTTGTTAGAGATAATAAACAATGACACAGTACCTTTGCTTGGTTCGTTCCTTGAGGATCAATCTTGCTGTATCATATGAGATACTGGTCGGTTGTAAATAGACAAACTTTAGAACATCTGACATATATTCCTCCAAACTTCAGGTGGAGGCTTTGTTATATGGTCAATTAGCCTCAATACTCCTAACTCCAAGATATGCAATTTGGACGGTTCTTTGAGGATATTATTTGTGTGCTGCAGCTATATTGATATTTGTAACTCCAAATAAAATTTGCTAACTTTACTGATTGTGTTTAGATAAACAAGTTTAGAATCGATTGCAGACAATGCTTTAAGTTGTTGCAGGTCTGCAAGCATTCTCAGCATCATTGGAAGCTTCTGTGATTTTGTCAATCTTATTTGCATATGTACAATTATCTGGTGATATATGTGCTTCTTTTGGGCTGTGGTGATCTATGTTTTGCTCTGTCTGAGTGTTTTGAAAGTGGTTCAAACGTGTGAAATGGCCAGCTGAAGGACTTCGACCAAAGAAAATTGGATAAATATCATCAGTCAACATCATTAGATTGAGGTATTTCTGCACTGTATATATTAGAGCAGTATACTGCTGTTAGTCAGCTTAGTTAGTTTACTGTTAATTGTTTCTTAGCATGGTTACAAGTTAGTTGAGTGTTAGTTGCATCCAGCTGTGTAACTATAGTTAATAAATTCAGTAACTATGATTAGTAAAGGTTGGTTAATAGCAAAAGTTGTAGTTAAGCTTGTATATAGTTTTGTAACGGAAAATAGAGCAATACAAGTGAGAAAATTCTTTCTCTACGAAAACTCTCCTTTCTTCATTTCGTTTCATGGTATCAGAGTGATGCTTCCGCAACTTGATTTGATCTAAGTACTCCAAATCAATCCTTCGTTTCTTTTTGGAGTAGTGAAAGAAGAGATTTCAGAAATTGAAAGCAATAATGGCAGGTGTCAATGGAGAACCGAATGTAGCAGCAACAGATCCAAATTCATCAAATTCGCCTCTTTATATACATCCATCGAATACTCCAGGTTCGGTGTTAGTCTCAGAACAACTTATTGGGACTGAAAATCATGGAACTTGGAGTAGAGCTATGACAGTATCGTTGCGTGCTAAAAACAAGTTAGGGTTTGTGGATGAAACTTGCAAGAAATCGACATTTGATACTCTTTTACGTGCACAATGGGAAAGGTCCAATTCTTTGGTATTGGCCTGGATTTTCAACACAATATCCAAAGAATTTTCAGCGTAATTGTTTACTCTACAAATGCGTCTCAAGTCTAGCAAGATCTTTAGGAGCAATATCACAAGGTGAATGGTACAAGAATTTTTGGAATTCACAGAGAAGTTGTTAATCTTGTCCAAGGTAAAAACTCTGTGGCAGTGTATTTTAACAAACTGAAATCACTATGGGATGAATTGAATGCTTTAGTAAGCTTGCCACCTCCTGATAGTGCTACAACTTAGGCTTATCATGAACATTTAAACCAGCAAAAATTATTGTAATTCTTGATGGGACTTGATGATTCCTACTTAATTAATGTCACCACTGCCGTCGACGAAATAGGCGTACTTAATTGTGAATCAAGATGAAAGTCAGAAGATACTTGCTGGAATCAACACCAATTCAGAGGTTTCAACTGTACTTTATGCATAGAATAATAAAAAATCACAAAACTAGATTTCGAAGTGCAAAGGAAGAAGCCATATTTTGAGTGTGAGCACTGTCATCTTCTTGGACATAGAAAGGATATCTGTTACAAGATACACGGCTACCTGCAGATTATCAGTTCACAAAAGGAAAAAATGGAGCAAAAGCTAAAGCCAATCAAGTGCAATCTTTACAATTGACCAGTGATTCTAAGTCTGGCACAAATCTTGGAACCATTCTTACAATTGAGCAATATAATCAGCTCTTGCAACTGCTTGGGAAAGAGAGTGTATCAGCTCCAGTGGCAAACTTGTTTCTTTGTATTCATGTCATACTGCCAGTAATTGGATTATAGATTCAGGAGCGACATACCATATGACATATGACTATTTAGGCTTAGATTCTCCTATTGATATAGGCACATCCCATGACACATTGGTAGGACTTCCAAATGGTACCAAAACTAACATACAACATACTGGTTCTGTCAGTTTGGATGAAGGGATTTCTTTAGATAATGTGCTTCATTTACCAGATTTTAAGTACAACTTACTTTCAGTGTCCAAGTTAACTACTTTAAACAATTGTTCAGTTACATTTTATCCTGATTTTTGTTTGATTCAGGACCTTTGGAGTGGGAAGTTGAAAAGGATTGGTAAGCATAAGCAAGGGCTATACTATTTCATGCCTCTTTCAAAGCTGAAAACCAATGTAACCAATTTACAGACAATAAGTGATAATGCCCACAAAACTTATTGTTGTATGCAAAATGTATCTTTTGGTTTACAAACTAATAAAGATTGTATCTCTTTGTCATCATCTACATCTTCTTTGAATAATAATCCAGAAATTTGGCATCATAGGTTAGCGCATGTTCCATATCACATCTTAAAATTAATACATGCTAATCTGTCATCGACACATACACCCTACTGTTCTATATGTCCACTAGCTAAACAAACTAGGATTCCATTTCCCTTGAGTCAATCTACCACTGCTAGTACCTTTGATCTATTGCATATGGATGTTTGGGGTCCACATAAGATACTGTTAGAACCTTTCTGTTTCGTTAAATCCTTTCTGTTATTCCCACCTGCAAAAAACTCACAGGCACTACAATTTCCAATAAACAGATTCACAGTCACAACACATAAACACACTCAACCAAACATTCTGAAATTGTTCAATATCTCTATTAATATTCAAAAGGTAACAGTACAATCTCTCAAGATTAACAAGTACAAGAGTAAGAATGAATAGAAAATGACAAAGCAGATTTCCCAGAACAGAACAAAATAAAAAATAAGAAGTAACGATAATCTGCTGGCTTCGAGGGCCAGTACCTCCCCAACCTAATTCCCCTTTACTTTTTCAATGCCAACAATCTTCTCTGTCAACCCTTTTTACGCCTAACTTTCACTCTAACAGAATTATTCCATTTCCAATCCAAGGATGCCACCTGTCCCTCTAAGGATGCCACATGTCCCATGCTTGTTGAGTAGAAAAAGTGTCATTTTATCCTCTCTGTCCACTCTTTTTCCTTCTACTAAAAACGTGCACTAGCGGGGTCTCATCATTATCCTCCCCAAGGAGAGCCACCTTGTCCCCAAGGTGGAAGAAAGGAAATTGGCTGTCAATGGAGGTGAAATCCTCCCATGTGTTTCTCATATGTGGGTAAGCCTTTCCATTTTATTAAGACTTCCAAAGTACCATTCAAAAGTTTTCGTGTGCGTAAAACCTCCTCAGGTTCGACTTGCAATACCAAATCTTCGTCTAGTGCTGCTGGAAAGGGTTCTGCAGTGGCGGTGGGTCCTTTGTTTTCTTGAGTTGTGACACATGGAAAACATCATGGATGCGTGCTGAAGGGGGTAGATCCAGACGATAGGCCACTGATCCAATCTTTTTTTTAACTTCAAAAGGGCCATAAAAGCATGGGTTGAGTTTCTCATTGTACCGACGAGCCAAAGAACAAAGGCTGTAGGGTTGCAACTTAAGGTAAATTGAATCTCCCACTTCCAACTGAACTTCCCTTCTCTTTGCATTGGCATAGTGTTTCATTCGGGTCTGGGCCTTGAGGAGATTATCCTGTAACTCAGCTAGGATGACATTGCGAGTTTGCAGTTAATAGTTCACTTCATCGACCGGTGAACCATGATCCGAAAATTTAAGAAGAGTGGGAGGATCACGACCATAAAGTGCTTTAAAAGAGGCCATACCTGTGGAGCCATTGAATGTCGTATTAAACCAGAACTCGGCCCAAGAGATCTATTTAGGCCATTGGCGAGGCTGACTACTCACAAAACAGCTAAGCTACGTTTCAACACATCGATTTACCACTTCCGATTAGCCATCTGTTTGAGGGTG